TACTAACTAATGCATTGTTGTTCCTGGGACAACATCAGTCTTTGTACTATACTAACTGATGCATTGTTGTTCCTGGGACAATTTTATAATACATGTTGTTCCTGGGACAACTTTTTTAATACACGTTGTTCCTGGGACAACATCAGTCTTAGTACTATACTAACTAATGCATTGTTGTTCCTGGGACAACTTTTTTAATACACGTTGTTCCTGGGACAACTTCAGTCTTCATACTATACTAACTAATGCATTGTTGTTCCTGGGACAACATCAGTCTTTGTACTATACTAACTGATGCATTGTTGTTCCTGGGACAATTTTATAATACATGTTGTTCCTGGGACAACTTTTTTAATACATGTTTTTCCTGGGACAACATCAGTCTTAGTACTATACTAACTAATGCATTGTTGTTCCTGGGAAAATTTTTTAATACATGTTGTTCCTGGGACAACTTTTTTAATACATGTTGTTCCTGGGACAACTTTTTTAATACATGTTGTTCCTGGGACAACTTTTTTAATACACGTTGTTCCTGGGACAACATCAGTTTTTACTATACTAACTAATGTATTGTTGTTCCTGGGACAACATCAGTCCTTGTACTATTCACATACAAGACTATGTTGCTCCTGGGATAACATCTTGTTACATGTTATTCCTGGAGCAACGTTTCTTTCAACACATTCATGTACAATGCTCAAGAACAGCATAATATTTTTCTCATGTTGATTTTTTTCTGTTTCTCTGATCAGTTGAAAATGCCTAAAATATGTATTTGTGACAGAGAAGATGATGGTTTTTCCTTTGCCAAGGAATGTTGTATTTGTGGGGGATATTTTCATCCAAGATGTGTTGGGACGTCAAAACATGCAATGGAGCAGTCCCGGGTATACAACTGTCCACAATGTGTGAAAGGTACAACATGTATTCTGTGCACTTTATTATCCATCTGACAAGTGTAAGAACGAACCAATCCAGTCCTTAACCCCCACACATACATGTACACGTATACGTGTCTGGGTATGTTCATGTATTTGTAAATGGCAAGCCTTTTCAGTTACAATGTAGTTGTATTGCAAAGTTCATTTCACAAATAAAATAAACACGAAATACATCACATACAATACATCAAACTTGCTCCTTATTCGATACACATATAGCTTTCTTTTAGGGGGGTTGAATTATAGGTTCAATTTCCTTTTCGGTGATGCATTATGGAATATAAATGAGAATGTGGGAAATACCTCATCAGCTTTACTTAGGAAATATGTAACTGATTTATGGCAATATAGAAAAGAAATGATAAATGTAATTTAAATATATGTATTACTGTTTTTCATGCTGCCGATACAAAGGTTGAATAAACATTATTATTTACATACACAAGTTCATGTACAAGTATATTTTCTTTTTAGCTAGACATCTGTACAAAAAAGTAAAAATCATGTATGGATTTACAATTATTAATGATGATCTGAGAAGGCTGGAAGAATCCAAGGAGATTGGAGATAATCTAATAAATTTGACTTTGACGTGAGTTACATATTTTTTTAGCCCTGATATATTATGAATTTTTAGCTCCGCTGTCGACTTTGTCAAGCGGAGCTTATCATATGAGTGATTGTCCAACGTTGTCCGTCGTCCGTGACAATGTTTTACTTTTTCAACTTTTTCTTGAAAACTACAAGCCTGAATGCTTTGATACTTCGTGTATATGTACCTTGGGTAGACCTCTCTCAGATTTGTTCATTTCGTGATGATATCTTTAATTCTCTAATTTTGGTGAATATTTTGTCATTTTTGGTAAAAAGTGATATTTTCAACTTCTTGTTAAAAATCGCAAGTCTGATTGCTTTGATACTATACATATTGTTAATTTTCTAATGATGTCTTTAGTTCTTTAATTGAAATGTGCATTGCTAACAGCGGAGCTATCTCAGCCGACAGGCTGCTTGTTTTATACAAGAATACCTAAATGTGTGCAATGAAAAAAAGCAGCTGCTTTATCGGCCAATGGAAATTGGATGTCAATGTGACCTCAGTATTGTTCAATTCAATAGCTCTTAGGTATTTTACGTACGTTTTTTTTTGTTTCTAGGCACATAACTAAAGACATGAACCATCTACATCTGATGGACTCCTTTTTTTTTAGTTCATTATTGGCGTTAAGAAGTGAACGGAGGTAAATGTACATAA